TCTTTGAATAAGGCAGAAAATTGTAAAATATTTTAGGGAACCCTTCCTCCAAAACAGTGAGTGCCCTTGAGGCAACACATTTCAGTTATTTGGAGAGAACTACTTATGTATAATTATTCATCATTATGATTCTTACTGTTTAGTAATGCTGAATCTGGTTCACCTTTCTTAACTGCCTCCTTCTACATTCTTTCTAACTGTCCTCCTCCCCTCTTCCAGCCAGGGTGCTCTTCCAGCTCCCAGAGCACACCAGTGGCCCAGAACTTTCTCAGTTTGAACCCAACCTAGGACATGCTTAGGTTGCAGGCAAAGCAGAATAGCCAGCCACCCACTGCAGATGCAGGGTCAGCGCTGTCCACTGAGCTTGTGCTGGACATGCACGGCCTTGTAGTTCTTTCTGTAAGTCGAGACAGTGGGTCAGGTCAGCAGATCTTAACTATTTTGAGAAAAAAGCTCTCGAGTCTGAAATCTCTGAAAAGCTCTCGTCATGGGTTTGGTTCTTTACTGCCCCGAAAGAGTATAGAGCAAGGTATTTATTGAAATTTGGGGAAGTAAAGCCAATGGATTCCATCCATTTTGCCAGCTGTGGAATGGAAGCTTTCAGAGGGAGATTTGTTTTCTTCCTGCAAAGCTCTCAGGGAGCACTGCTACTCAGGAGGCTAGAATTTAGAGGCTTAGCTGGAAGGTCACGGCACAAAGGTCTAAACAGAACTCTGAAATTCTACCCCAGCCTTTTCTTCCGTATTTCTCTTCAATTAAAACAATTAGCTAAAGGTGTGGAGGCCCAAACAGAGGCAACTTGCAACTCACTGCCCAGAGTTACCAGGCATAGCTTGTTTCATCAGCCCCATCGCCCCAGGATCCAGTTGCAAGCTGACTGCCTCTCACAGGAAGCAGGCACACGTGAGCCTGCCGGGTGGTAGGAACAGCAACACTGCAGTTTGGTTAGTAACAGAGCTTTGTGGTTTCACCTCAAGACAGGCCTGAGCAATTCCTGGTTAATTGAAATTAATCTGAAGTTTGAAATTTACCCAAATCCCACAACCAATGTTTAAATTGGTAATTAGTCCACCCTGGGTGAGTTGTTCGCTCTCTCCAAGAACTACAGGAGGAATGGTGGGCAGGTTCTGAAGGCGCCCCGGGACCCTGTGCTAAAGAGACTGAAGATCCAGTCCGGAGAAAAAGACTGTATTGCCCTCACCTGGGGGAATCAATGCTGAGTTGCAGCTTGAAGGTCTTAGAGCTCATAGTGGGCGGTCAGATGGGGAGGTGCAGCAGAGATAAAAGGTGCTGAGTAATCTGAGCTGAAGTTCCAGCCCCCCTTTCCCCCCCCCCCCCAGAGTCTCCCAGCTGGGTGTACTTCCACCCCAGCCCCAGCCTCTGTGGGCCTCAGTTGTCTCACTTCTCCGAGGAGGTAATGGTTGCCCACACCATTCAATGATTTAACACTGATAAGGAGCCTATAGCCAGGCTTGAAACACTGCATCGTCTGAGAATTTCTACCAAAGAAGTCCTAAGAAGCAAGCCTTAAATCGGAACACATTCTTTATTTCCAATCCTGAAAATAACTTATACCAGATTTGCTAGCGGAAGCGGCATTTTCTGAGACCACATCTCCTTGGTCTCCTGTGTGGCCTGAGGCAGGATACAGTTGAGGGGATTAAATTAGGTCGGAGGCAGATCAGCCCTGAATTCCTATGCTACCTCAGTGATGCACTCGGGTTAAACTGTTTCTTCATCTAGAGCAGAGGTCAAGTTCCAGTTCACAAGCCACATCAGGTCCACGGTCTGTGCTGCTAAGTTGTACGGAAGCAAATGGCCACATCATTTGTTTTCCCATTAACTGCGGTCACTTTGCTGCTAGGAGCTTAGGGGAGGCACTCTCAGCAGAGCCAAGAGTGCTTCATGTTTGGAACACACCTGTGAAACCACTGGTCTCGCCTGCAAGCACAGTATAAAATCTGGTTTTGCTTTCCGGGGGGGGTGAGCAAAGATACTATTTAAGACAGAACCCGTATCTGAACTCTGTGAGGAGTAACTATTAACATTACACTGAGACGCAAACCTAAATCTTGGTTTGGTTTTGTTTAGCTCTCTTTGCTTGCTTACTTCTGGGCCTTTCTGTCCCAGAGCAAAATATGAGCTTGACTTCCTCTAACTTGGATTAAACTAATCTGCCACCCACTGCACCTGTCCATTGAGGCCATTTCTATGGCTCCATTCATCCAAAAGACCAGGGTTTATGTCCTATTGTTTGAAAACATTTGCTTTGCATTTCAATGACTTTACCGTAAGCAGGTAAGCATGCAGTAAGCTCAAGGATTCTGGCACAGATTTGTTCGCAATTTTTAATTTTTTTATTTAGAAATAATAAAATAAGACATAATATATAAAAATATGTACAATCCATGGTTTGTGCAGTACAATAGGAAGACTTTCAGGTACAAAAAAGACGTCGAACGGGAAAAGAACCAGCGCGATTGTCAAGACCAGGATTGTTGCACTGGCCAGACCCAGAGCTCCAAGAGAGCTCAGAAGGAGACTCTACGTGGAAGGGAGAGGACACTTTGCAACACTTTTTTTCGCTTTAACATTATTAGACACAGAGTGAAAAAGAGCTCACTGGACTTCTCAAAACAAGCTTTCTGCCTTCACGGAGAGGCTTATGATAAAATACAAACTGACATTGATTATTTGAAAGGGTAACATATTTGGGGAACAGAGTTCAAATAAACATCCAAGTTTGGGAGAGGAGATGATCGGGAAGAAAGATAGTGAAGGGAGAAATAATGCAGTCATAGAATTAAAAAAAAAAAGTCAAACAAACTTTCACCAGGAATTTGGAAATAACTACAGTGCTATAGTGACATCCTTAAATGTCTGATTCAAGTATATGCTTAGCGGGATAGAAAACTATTCCTTTCTCAATAATCAAAATAGAATTCACTTTGTCTACCTTTTATTTAAAAATAGGATAATGGGGTATCTTTGCCTCCTCCCAAAAATAGACTGCCTATCCAGAGATGGGCAAGAATTCTTTAAAAGGAAATAATTCCACAGTAAATTCAGTGGGATATGCTTGCAACAGAGAAGCATCACGTATCTGGGAATCAACCCCAGGAACTTTGGAGATGAGTCTCTCCATCTGTATTCTGATGACGTGTGCATGAATTAAGGAGACCCTGTCATAGGGCAAACGTTCTGAAGGTAAAATGCAGCAAAAAAAAAAAAAAAAATGTGCATTATCTGTGTCTTGGCTCTTGACAAAACAACAAAAAAAATTGCCATTTAAAGCTTGTAACTGTTAAAATACTAATAGCTAGAAAAAAGCTTTCAAATGAACAGTCCATGCTGAAATAAATAACAGAAGAACAATACAATACGAACCTTATAAGGCTGGTAAATATGTGCTAAAACCATGCTAACCGGTAGCATATAGGTACTAGCTCTCAGAAATTGCTGCACTGAAATTAGACTTTCTATGGCAATTTTTTTTTCCTTTACAGTCTTCTATTTACATTTGGCTTTAAATATGAAAATATCTGATAAACTTTATAAAATGTACACTTTAAAAACATAGCTTCTGCAAAATTTTCTTGAAAAAAAAAAAACAAACCTGTGCACCAGAAATTTTAATTATTTTCCACTTTTTCAGAAAGTTGAAAATTTTCCCTCCCTCATTTCTGCCTCTGCACCCCAGCCCCTTTCAAATATCTCAAGTTTTTTTGAGTGGTAGTGAGGTGTCTTTGGGAGGAGACTTCCCTACGGTCACCCCCCCCCCCATCTCCATCGCTTCTTCATTTAATTTTCCTATCACTGAATACTCTTTGGTTTAATTATTTTCCTTTGCAAAATATCGAAATAGCAGCAGCTGAAGCCCTCAACACCCTCTCCCTGTCAACGGCAAATTGTCGCCTGCCTTGGCTGTCAATTCTCTGATCCACTCCATCCCAATTCCTCTGACTCTTGAAACAAGTTCCTAAAACTGCCTTAAGATGTAGAATTTAAAATATCACCCCTCTGCCTGGCATCTCGGTTTCCCATGAAAATCTCCCCAGAGTTTTCAGACCCATCAACTTTGAAGGCTGAGAACAGGAACTGTCAGATCATTGCAGGAACCACATTCAGTATGGCTGTTCAAGAACCAGAGACCGTCACAAACATCAGGTTACAAAAATACATGATTCTAGAACAAGCTGTTTTTTAATGGCATACAGGGATATAATACCATAAAAGCGTTGATTTTGAGACTCCAATTAAAAGGAAAAGACACTAGCCCCAGAATTCACAAATAGGGAACCTTAAACCCTTATTTAAAAAGTTCCTTTATTGAGCTAAAGCAAACCAAAAAAAAAAAAAAAATGTTTCTAGCAAGTCAGGTGGCCAGGCAGAAGAGGTTTCCGGAAAACATGTTCTTAGCAACCTGCACCAGGTAGGGTGAGAAGGACCAGCTAGGGTTCAATCACCAGTGTGCAAACAGAAGGGGAAGTATCCCTTTCCCACCATGCTCCCCTTTCCCACACCTGTCATTGTGTTCTGTTTTCCCAGTTCTCCTTGAACCTAAAATACTGAGACAGTTTCACTCCTGCCTTCTACTATTAAAAACATGACTTGTCTTTCCCTCCTGAATACTTGAGCTGATCAGGTGCCACAGCAGTGACTTGTCCCTTCCCCACTTTGGCATCGGCAAGCCCCTCAGACACACTTGCAAGTCTCACTCCAAGACAGACCGATCAGTGCAAAAAGCCACAAGGCCAGAGCAACAGCTCTTCTAAGGTGAAGTCAAGCTGGAAAGTGATCTGATTGGCAGGTCCCAGCATCTAACATCTAAGCCTGTTTATCACTCTTGCTGGATGGCTCCGTTTTTTGAGTGCCGACTAAATACCCAGGTCTTATCTTTAGGACTTTAGGAATACATTCTGGAATGTGCAAAAAAAAAAAAAAAAAGAAAGAAAGAAAGAAAGAAAAAGAGGGGTGTGTCTTAAAGAACACCACCCTCTCTCAATGTATGCTTCAGCCTAGCCACCATGACCTAGCAAAAAATGATGTTTACGATTGTGGTTGTGTATGCAAGTGAGACTTCCTATTTCTTCGTCTAGAACACAAAAGTTACACGACAGAACAAAATTTTAAAAACACTACACTCACTAGACTGTGTGCCTGATGTTGTATTTTCTGAATAAGGTGCAAGAGGAGAGAGTAGTTCAAGGTCACACTGAGGTTACTGTCTCTTGATTTCAAGGCAGCCCTGTAGGGCCTTCCTTCCTTTGTAGTGTTAGCTCCACTGTGCAAAAATGTGCATTATCTTTGGTATTTGTTTGTAGGTAGTCTAACTCAAAATTTGAGATAACCCATTAACATCATGGAGGGGGGGTGGGGTAAAACCAATAACAACAAGCCAGAGGCTACCATTTGGCTAGAGTTACATAATGCCCTTATGTAACCGAAGAGAGAGAAAATCAATTCTAGCAAAGGAATCACTGGCCTCTCGTTTTGGCAGCTAATAGCCAAATACTTGCCACTTTGCAGCGCGTATCATGAGCTTTCAACGAAGTTCAACACTGACTTTTAAATTACACGAAAGAAAAACTACACTGCAACAAAAATACAATCTGTGTTCATGTAGTTAGCAGCTTTTCAAAAATTAAGGCAGAGTCTTGCCTTTGTTATGCCATTAAAAACATTCTTGTTCCCTAAAGAGAAGCATTCTGGAGAAGTGAAATACCCCACCAAGGCTTGCCTGCAAGTTCAAGTTTTGTAAAAACACAAAACGAGACATGAAAAAAAACCATAACTTATTCTACAACATCTATGTGCCATCAGGTCACGGGGAGGCGTGTGGAGGGCTTTCCTTCGAGCCTACAGTCTTTGACACCACAGTGCCAGCCGCGGGGCCTCACCGTCCCTTGCCTCGACCCACCTCTTCACCAGTACCGTCGTCTGAATAACTGTTCTGGGCCTTTGACCAACAGACTGTGTTGAAAGTAAATATTCCAGAGGAGGAATCAGCCAGTCATATCTCCGACTCTCGCCGTAAGGGCCTGGGTTCTAGAGGCACACTTGCCTGGTTGTGAAGGTCTATATCGGGAGGTGTGTCCGTACTGGTGCTTTCTGGAACCCCGTTTTCACTGTCATCTTCCTCTTTGCTAGTGAGAGCGACTTCATTTTCATAGCAAAATGAATTTGCATTAGAGAGGATATATTTCTTCTCTGCTAAGTCTCTGGCACTGCAGAGAGGGGTATTGGGGACTTCATAGGTCTTGTGGAACCTGGAATAGTCCACTTTGTAGTAGTGCTTCTCCTCGAAGAGCACAGGCTCGTAGCGGTGGCCCCAGAGGATTTCATTCGCCAGGTAGGAGCTACGACACTGGGTGGTCATGGCGGTTGCTTCCACCATGCCTTCCAGTATCACGACGATTTCAAAGTCTGCATTGTCGATGTCCTGTTTACTCAAGTCATACAAAGGACTGTCCTCATCTATTTCATGGACGATGGTGATGGGGGAGACCAGAAAGATCCGGTCAATCCCACTGTCAAAGCCAACGTTGATATCTATCTGGTCCAAGGGGATGTATTCCCCTTCAGAGGTGATTCTGGATTTGAGGAGCTGGGCTCGGACGTGAGCTTCCACCAAGTGGCTCTTCCGGAGGTTGCCCACTCGCCACATCAGGCACAGCTTGCCATCTCTCATGGCGATGACGGCGTTGTGACTGAAGACAAGAGTCTCATTTCTCTTCTTGGGCTTGGCCATCTTGGCCATGACGGCGCCGATGATGAAGGCGTCGATGATGCAGCCCACGATAGACTGGAACACCACCATGAACACGGCGATGGGGCACTCGTCCGTGACACACCTGAAGCCATAGCCGATGGTGGTCTGGGTCTCAATGGAGAAAAGGAAGGCGGCCGTGAAGCTGTTGACCTCAGACACGCAGGCTTTGCTGTCTTTTGATGCATCCAGATCCCCATGGAGCAGAGCTATCAACCAAAACACACAACCAAAAAACAGCCAGGAGAGCACAAAGGCCAGGCAGAAGATGACCAGCATCCACCGCCAGCGGATGTCCACGCAGGTGGTGAAAATATCGGCCAGGTACCGCTGTCCCTTCTCGCCCACGTTGATGAACTGCACGTTGCAGTGGCCATCTTTCTTGACAAAGCGGCTCCTGCACTGCTGGCGAGTGTGGACTTGACTTTTGCCATTGCCAAAGCCATTTGCCACCGCCATGGTGGCCAGCTTCATGCCGTCTTCTTCTGAAGACACGATGCTGTAGCGGTTGGTTCGCACGCTGCCCATTGCTTCTGCTGTGGACGCCAGTGCTGCTTCTGCTTTGTAAAACAGTCTGAGTTTTTGCAAAACCCTTTGGAGAAACAGTTTTGAATGTTCAGTGAGGACACACACCAAAAAAAATGAGGAGAGATGGGGGTCTCCAGGAGCCTTGATGTTCTAGCAAGGTCTGCCTATGACATGCAGAGTTAGCTCAGTAACTCGGCTGACATCCAGAGAACATGTCCTGCAAGAAAAGAAAGTTTACTCATTACAAAGGAGCTCATTGGTCAAGGGTTCTGCTCTCTCGGGCATTGTTTCCTAGTAAGATGCAGAGTCAGATATAAAAATGCATGGAATGAGAGCATTTTACTTCTCGAGACCTGAAACAGTATTTCTGAGTTTTATATAAAGCATGGTATCATTGAACACAGACGACTTGGTTGTCTGTGCCAGTCTTTCAACCAAAAGTTCAGGTCCCGTTTTCCCTGTTTTTGGCCAGCAATCTAGAACATTCTGCTTTACAGGTCTAGGTCTTCCTTTTTTTTTTTTTTTTTTTCTTTTTTCTTATTCTCTTCATGTTATCTTCCCTACTTGTCAGGTCCCCACATTATCAAGCAGAAGAAAGATTTTGTAACTCCAGCCTTGGGTAGGAAGCATCAAGAACTCAGACCTGTGCAGAGAAGGACCCGTGTGTGAACATCACAGTCCTGAGCTGCAGGTGCATTATGGGAGACTATTAAGCATTCTTGATAACATGGGTGAAATCAGAAGGCACAGGCTCTTTTGTTTGAATGACTAAACTGAGCAGACAGCCCTTAACATTTTCTGAAATGGATCCCAGTATCTGGAGACAGTTTGGGCTGGCTCCATCCCTTCACACACACGGTAAGCAGCCGCTCTGCAGAAATGGCCGATAACATCTCTGTTAGCACAAGTGATTCTGACTTGAAGATGCAGGTTTGCTCTGGGGGGTAGAGACTCCGTTGCCTAGCAATGAGTCCTGAAATTCTCCGGAGATGGGATTGCCATGTGTAATGACAGGCTAGGAAGTAAGCACCTTTGTGCCAAAGGACCAGGTCTTTAGTGGATTGAGATAAGGCAGGAACTCATTTTATGTGAGGCTAATTCTGTGTTTTCCCAAACAGAGACAACTTTGTAGAGACAGATAGTAAATGTCTGTCCACTTACTTTCACTTCCAGGGCTATTGTTTGCTATATGTTCCTATGGAGAAGGCACTCACCTTAACTTAATGTGAACAAATAATCCTTTCCAGCTTTCTCCTTTTGCTTCATTCTTCCCTCGGTAAAAACTATTTTAACTTTCCATCTTTGTGCCAAAGAAACTATCTTTTTCCTTAAATAACCAACAGTAATTTAAGAGAAAGGTGTGTTCTTTACCAAAGAGATGCCAACAGAACTAATCTAGCACAGACCAAATAGGTAAAAGTGACCCCCAACTTTTCAAACAATCCAATAGGGCTCCAGTATTCACTTTCTCCCCCAATCTCAACAACATTAAGATTAAGCAGGGAACAGAACCTAGTGCAGGCAAACCAAGAGTCAACAATAAAGCAACCCATGTATCTTATTTTTGTGCAACCTCTTAGAGAGTGGCAAGGTGCATTGTCTTGGAAAATGCCTTGCTAGTCTTTTCACTTCTCCTTCTTTATCCAAGTTATTATGCAAGAATGTGCCCCAACACATTTTTCCTGAGATTAGTCATCTGTGAAAATTGCAATGTGTGTTACATTTTGGCAGCTTTTTGACACCTAAATGATGCCCGAATTGAAAGTGCCTTTGAATTACTTTATGAAAAGTAGTTACTGTGCCTTCCCAGTCTTCCACCTGCTTCAATGTTTTGTCTGCTTCCCCGGGAAGTCTGTACTTGGACATATGAAGCAGGACTCCTGTTCCACAGGGTTCTAGATTCTGGACATGGAAATCATTCTTTTAACAGTGATTTCAGCTTAGTTGACTCATCTGAAATTGCCATGCATTTCTGCACAAAAAGAGAGAGTGGTAACAGCACAGAACTAAATACAGGTATACTTTCCAAAACAGGAAGGTGAGCTGCATTTAAGCAGTGCTTGACTTCAGAATCTTCTATGCTGACACCAAGAAACTCTTTTTTCATGAATCAAAACAATCCTTCCATCTGAGTTACCGTTAGAACCACGAGTAGACAGTCTCAAATTTCTTCTGACTTATTTCTGCACTCTTTCCAGATGAAAGCATAACCACCACATGAAATTTAAAGACAGAATTACGACTTTCCACAAAGCTTGACCCCGAGACATTAGTATGAATTCCACAAAACATGCACTAGAAGCTTCCTATGAGTAGCGTCTGCGTATCGAGCCTTGCAGATCGTCTGCATGGAGCAAGAGATCCAGTCTAATTTTCATTGCTAATGACAAAATTTGCTCCACATGTACATTATCATATAGCTATTTGACCATTTCAGCCTGCAAAAAGGGAAACTATTTTTTTTTTTGGTGAAATGGAAATTTTCATCATCTCAAATAGAACTGTACACACACATTGTGTTTAGACTTCTGTGAGCTGATTACACAGCAGAAATTTAGAATGTGTCAAGGTTTGTAAGGATAATTCTCTCAATATCTCATTATCAAGAATGCTTTCCTGTTAACCTGCCCACAGGCCTAGCTGGCATCAGGCTAGCAGAAAACACTCTCACCTGCTCTTCTCACACCGAAATTAAAGAGTATGTGGGAGAAACTTTCATTAAGAATGAGGCTTTCACACAACTTTATTTTAGGCTAATATTCACAATATTTTTTTGAGAAGTATTGGATCAAATGTTTCAGTGATTCAGCTTCTTGATGGCTACAATCTGAAGATTTTGAGATTTGATTTCAAGGCTAGCACGTAAACTCCCCTTGCAGCCAAAATATATAAAGGTCTGATGTAAATTTATTAGACACCAACAATCATCTTACCCAGGCTGAAACCAATGATGCAAAAAGTATTTCTGGGAAATTGAGAGGCTACATGTGGTGTTGTTCATGTTAATTCTATTTATAGGCTGAGCCAAAATTAAGCATAAGCAATGGGAAAAAAAAATGGTTCAGGGCTTCAACTGTAGGTAGATGTTGAAGGAAAGCAAGTTATAGTTTAAAACAGGGTCAAACAACGACATGCTATGTAATGAGGACATCAAATTTGTCTTTATCATAAAGGAAAGATGCCTGGCATGGGCCCTTCAAAACCAGAAAGAGGTAACTGTGAAGGCTATATGGGAGTAAAATGTGGCCCATCATATTGCGCATGGCGCATGATGAATAAGGAAATTTCTACCTAAGGATAGGACATAAAGACAGTGCAAAAAATTGTGCCGGGCAGAGGGATGCTTGCTAATGAGTGTTCGGAGCAGTTATTCCCCAGCTGACGCCATACAGACCAGCACCAGTGAGCTCTGGGCACATGTTGCTATGTGAGCCCAACTCCTAGCAAAGCAACCTCTTGGAAGCTCAGTAAACAAGGAGGGGGGAGGGGAGGTCAGGGAGGGAGGGGGGCGCCCTTTGATCTACCTGGATGTGGGTTCTATTGATATAACATTTATAGCCATGCAGGTAAGCACTGCTCACATTTGCAAATGCTGAAAAAAATATGCATCTGCTAAACAAAAAGAAACACAGGCAACTTGAAACAGTAGGTCTGTTCAGGTAGAGAAGTGGTCAATCTTTCCTGCTTCTCAAAAGTCATATGAGGACTCATACATAGCTAACTGGAGATTCCACAACTGTAGACTCTGAAGGAAGCAGACATACTGTGTGCTTAAAAAAAAAAAAAAAAGCCAAATTCACAAGAGATTAGTGCAAACATTCTATGGATACTAATAACATAAGAAAAAGTGCCAAGAGAATGTGGAGGGAGGGGCTGGAAGCCAAGTGAAATGACCTTGACACCAGCTGTCACCCCTTCACCTCACTCCTGAGCTTGGAGTTTGGGATGATGGCAAATATAGGAAAGACATTTTAGGCTAGGCGGCAAACAGGTAACATGCAGCAGGAAATCTGACAGCTAGAGATTATGCATGTGAAAAGGAAACATGATGCATTTTCTGCACACCCAGAACAGGCTTGAGCTGATGCCTTACTTCCTAACAGGTAAATTCAGAGTTTATGAAAATGGCCGGGATTCACAGGCTCACCCTAGTTACCATCCTACTGATAAGCGTACCCGAACAGGCATAAACTGCCGTTTCATATCTCTTTTTCTTAATAGCCATGATGAGTCTATGTTATGATGCAATCTTTTTTTGCAGAATCAAGTCGTTTTTTACCGCTGCGCTTCCCTAAAACCACGCTGTCTTTAATTCAGGCAGGAATACTTCGTAATAATTATTACGACGAATAACAAGTTGTTGAAGGGAGAGTGACATCTGATATGAAAGTTTTGCGGTCTGCGGACTCCAATCCAATTCGGACTCCCCCTCTCTCTTCCCCCAGCAAGGCAACTTTCAGACGCTCGGTTTGCAATTCAAAGCTATACTTGAAGCAATGACAAAAGAAGAAGAAAAGACGCCAGGGATCCGACTGGTCCGAGTCCCGACGTTTGCCAAGGCTGAACACCAGTCTTCCAGACGCACTTTCCCTCCCGCGCCTCCCTCCCCCCAACATTGCCCTCCCCCTCCCCCCTTTAAAGGGAGAATCGAAGGCGGGCTCCCTCACCCTCTAAACTAGTATCTCGCTACAGCTGGTGCATTGGAAGTTATGAGCACAAACAGATGCTGCAGAGAAATCTGTTTCTATTGCTCAACTGTTCCAAGCATGTCTCAGTATTTTTAGCTCTGGGGATGTTCTTGCGCGCACACAAACTATAGGCAAGATCTGGGACTCCCGAGCGCGGGTGAGCGCTACAGCGGCGTGACAGCTGGGCCCCTCTGCAGCGGCGGGGCTGGGTCCGCGCCGGGACCGCAACCCGCGTCCACTCCCCAGGAAACAGGCAGCGAGAGCAAAGGAGAGGAGAAAACACACAACAGCCCTTACCTGTTGCTGGCGCGGTCGCCTGCGGGCATGGAGTGGAAGTAGGGGGGACAGAGGCAGGTAAGATCCAGTGGTTTGTGAAAGCGAGTGAACCACGGCGAAGCAGAATTCCCAAGACCCAGCAGGCGGACGCCGGGGAAGGCTGCGCGCCGGCCAGGGCTCCAGTGCGCTCTGCGCTATCCTGGGCTCTTTTGAGGCGGTCCACGAGCCACCGGCCCGCCTGGCCCCGCCCCCGGCCGCCTGGCCCCGCCCACCGCCGCCCTGGGCGTGGCCAAGCTCCCGCTGGGTGTCTGCCCCTGCCTAGCCTCCCGGTCCTAAACACAGTTGACCTCCGGCCAAATGTTTTAATCTACATATTGGGAATAAATAAGTAAACTCATTCAACTGTTATCTGAGCCACTTGTTTTTTCGGGACTTGGACGTCTGCCGTAAATCATGGCATTTGATGTGGAGATAGCAAAAACCGGGGAGCCTCCATTCTAGGGTCACTTGGAATAGTCTTCCTGCCGGCATTGACAACGATGCAGGTTTTTTTTTTTT